ATTTACTTTAGCATTAATTTTTCTGTCTTTAAAAGAATAAGAGGTATGTCAGAAATTGCATATACCCACGAAGAGGAGAGTTATTCTTGCTTTCAAAATGTAGTAATCCGATTTGGAAAATTAAGTAAAAAGAAGTCAAGAAAAATGGTATTTTAAAAGTGTGCCCCAGTACAGCTGCAAAATTCCTCACAGGATCCTGAAAAGCAGTGTGTACATACACAGACATTCTGTTGCTTGAAAACAAATCATTCAAATTACAAATCTCAAAATTCCCAAGATTTTGCTGGCATCGATGACTGATGATGCCGATTCACAAATACGTCTTAGCAACCTATGTGCTTAAAAGCTGCTGTTTACGACCCAAGGAAAACGTTAATTTTATCACCATCCAACTAAAAAGTTCTGGAAGCTGCAGCTGGAAATTCAGTGCCAGTCTACCATGCTGCTTGTCAAGGACAGAGGGATGGACAGACAAAAGCTCATAGAAGAGTGTGAATTAAAAGAAAGACCCTAAAGCCCAACACGTGGAAAGTGAGGCTGCTAAAGAAGTTCACAATACCTTTGCCGGTGAACTTCTTTGAGTTGCTTTGACACCATTCAGAAGCTGTAAACTGACTGGACCTCAGTACTCTGGCCTTGGGATCTCGCAGGCTTCATGAACCTTCTGTTCTGCACTGAGGCACAACCTCAGCATGTATTCGTGTGTCTCAATTCTACTCACGTCCCATTCGGGGCCAGCAAAGACTTCGCAAGTTGCACTCGTGCAGGCAGATAACCACATTTCACAGCATCTTTATGTGTACCTGTGCCTAAATTGGCTGGGGCAAGGGTAAAGAATGAAATTTCTGTGAAAACTCCCACAGACTAAGAGCAAAAACCAGGCAGATGAGCAAGCTGTGCTTCATTAAACAAACTGCGAATTGCCCACAGCAATGCCAAATGAACGCACTTGGTCTCACCCGACTTCTGCAGTTACAGAGGATGCCTGTCCCTGGTTATCATCAAGTAATCACTTGGCAATTCTTGAGCTAAGAGGTTACAGATGAATACTTTCTGCATGTTAAAGCGCACACACAAAAAAATGAGTTTGCTTGTTGCTGCTGTTATGGATGGACAGCAATTGCACCAGAATAAATCAACCTCTGTGCAGTTTCCTTACACAAAAAAAAACCTCTGCATCTGACAAGTAAAGAAAATAGTCTCAAGAGGCTAAGTATTTATAAGGTTAAATCAACAGGCTGTGCTCTTCAAAAAAGTAGTATCCTGCTCTTCCTAGTCTGGCTGAGCACCAACCCAGGTGCTGTCCTGCAAGGCAGTCTCCAAAGACATTCCTCAGCCTGCAATGTTGACAACAAATTGAGCAGCATCTACAGGATGTGCTTGACTACATCTGCCCTTTCTCTGTCCTATCTTCATCCGTCCAACCATCCATTGCTCAGTAGGCAAAGCAAGCTTTGCCAGTAAACAGATGAGAAAAATTAGTTGCTTCCACAGATACATACTTATGCCGTTGTATGCGTGACGTTACGGCACTGGATGTACAATAATGATGCGTCCGCAACGGCTGTTCATTAGCTTCACTCATTGTACAATATTTTCCAGAGATATGACTAGCCAGTTAATCTGCTGAATTTTTTGTCAAAATTGTTAATCAGTCAACATTCTGCTCTGAAAAGGGGGAGAAAGCAGTACTAGAGCTCGGTTTTATTTCTTTTTATGAGGAAGGACAATTTCTCTCTGAACTGAAAGCCAGAAAAAGTGTTTCATCCAAAAAAATCAGATATAAGTAATTAGATCAGGAAGAAAATGATCAATAACACAATCTCACAAAAATAAAACCCTGCTTTGGTTTGGCCTGGATAAATGCCAGGTGCCCACCAAAACCGCTCTGTCACTCCCCCTCCTCAGCAGGACAAGGGAGAGGAAATACGATGAAAGGCTCGAGGGTCGAGACAAGGACAGGGAGAGAGCACTCACCAATTACTGTCACAGGCAAAACAGACTGAATCTGGGGAGAAAAGGGAGTTTAATTCATCACCAATCAAATCAGAGGAGGATAGTGAGAAATACATCCAGATCTTCAAACACCTTCCCCCCATCCCTCCCTTCTTCCCGGGCTCAGCTTCACTCCCAGTTTCTCCACCTACTCCCCATGAGCAGCGCAGGGGGAAATGGAGGTTACGGTCAGTTCATCACACGCTGTCTCTGCTGCTCCTTCCTCCTCAGGGGGAGGACTCCTCACACTCTGCCCCTGCTCCAGTGTGAGGTCCCTCTCACGGGAGACAGTTCTCCACAAACTTCTCCAACATGAGTCCTTCCCACGGGCTGCAGCTCTTCACAAACTGCCCCAGCATGGGTCCTTCCCACAGGGTGCAGTCCTACAGGAACAGGCTGCTCCAGCGTGGATCCCCCATGGGGTCACAAGCCCTGCCAGCAAACCTGTTCTGGCATGGGCTCCTCCCACAGGCTACAGGTGGATACCTGCTCCACCGTGACACCTCCATGGGCCGCAGGGGGACAACCTGCCTCACCATGGTCTTCATCACGAGCTGCAAGGGAAGGCGCTCTGCTCCAGCACCTGGAGCACCTCCTCTCCCTCCTTCTTCACTGACCTTGGTGTCATCCATTTTTTCTTCTTTCCCTTCTTAACTATGTTACTCCAGAGGTGCTACCACCGTCGCTGATTGGCTTGGCCTTGGGCAGCAGTGGGTCCATCTCAGAGCCAGCTGTCACTGGCTTTATCAAACACAGGGGAAACTTCTCGCAGCTTCTCACAGAAGCCACCCCTATATAGCCCTCCTGCTACCAAAACCTTGCCACGCAAACCCATAACAAACCCGTACTTCCTACAAAGCCATGGGAAGTTAATTTTTAAGAACCGAACAAGTAGCCATCTTCAATGCATTTGTTTCAACTGATACTTTAGAATAGCTCTTTATACTTTTACTCAGGAAAAAAAAGGCAATCATGAAAACAACAGCAAGTCAGTTCAAAATCATCAGATAGAATGTTTTTGCTACCTACTATACACATCATTTTTGCTTTTGAACAATGACTCAGATCACTTACAGACTCCACTTACGAAAATTAGGAACAATCCCACCATCGCACTTCACGACATGATTTCTTTTTTTGCTAATACATACTGAAGTACCAGTGAAAGGAATAACTAACATTAAATATGTATTAATTGGTGGCTACTCCTTTAACAAGAAACAACTAAGGCTACTGCATAAGAATGAAGTCTGTTATCTTTAAAGTTTCTTGTATTAGAGCATTAGTTTAATGACACAAGCATAGTACTTGTATAGCATTTGCTTATTCTCAGGCAAGTTTTTCTCTGCAGCCTTTTTTGCTTTATCCAGTCGTGTCATACATCTTGCCACTCTAACTGTAAAGAACTCTGTAAATTACCTAAAGTTAGTATTTTCTTTCACGGGCAACTTTTTCATCTCTCTTTAATGAAAATAAGGGAATTGTTGCAAAGCGGGAGGAATGTGACAAAAATAAAATCGCATTTTTTCTTCCATTCAAGGAAAAATCCGTATCACCACTGGATGAACAGATAAATGCACATTCTGGTGGATAATACGAGGTTGGATGCTTTAATTATTTAACTGCTCTTCGCCACTTTCATCTGGCTAAATAACCTAGGAAATGGGATATCTAAATTTTATATTTGTAGCACTTCAAGTTATTTGTTGTACTTCAAACAGTAAGAGTTTGACTGGATACTAGAAAGTTTTTCAGTCCTGCACTGAATCCACTGGACCACCTCATCTCATCAACATCTCATTAGGAGAGGTAATGCATCTGCAGCCAACTTACTGGCAGGAATTTGCAGCAGCCAAGTGCCCCAAATAGCACCTGTGCTCAGCTGACAGTTAAAACTTGTTCTCTTTAAAGTCACAGCTCCACGGCTTCGGTGTTCCCCGAAGGCAGCACTAGGTTGCTAGGGTGCTACGTAGGGAGGTATGTATGATACTCGGGGAAATGAAGCACAACGCAGAGATGTGAGAATTACTGGAGAGCTAACACAGTAAGTCCACCCAGAGCCACAAGCAAAGCAACTGTCACCAGGGGTACAGTCCTGTTTGTTCCCTGCTCTATCAGTTCTACACCAGGCTGACGTGACTGGACTGACCTAGACAAGCGCAGCCCATAAAATCCATTGGAACTCCATGACACGTGGACCTGCCTTCTTCAGCTTTGCTGCCATGAGAACCCCTGCACCATCCCAGCTGCTCCAGAGTAAACATGCTCTGCGACTTGAGGTAACAGCATGTCCAAATAATTATTTGACAATTTCAGAGATCTTTTAATATGCAAAAGAACTAACCAAAACCAAGACTCTTCCTTCATATCTCCAAGCCCCACACATATAGCTAATGGAAACCACAGTCTGTGGTCCCGTTGGTCATTTTGTTCTGAGTGGCACCTCTCAAACTGAATAAACCCTACTATTTCGCAAATGAACAGATTCAAGTGTAAGGTTACGCTGAAAACTTGCCGTACAGGGTCTGCCATACTTCCCGTGACTCAATGCATTGTCACAGATTTTCTGGCAATGGTCAAATCTTCATCAATGAAGAAAAAACCCTATATTTAAGACTATTTCTTAAATTTTAAGAAGCTCCAAAACTTTAACGAAAGAAGTGACTACTTCTGAAGAAAAACCCAGTACGACAACATTTTCACAGTTTGTAATGGATCATAATTCAGTAAAAATACACTAAAACTGAGACACAGAATCATAGAATATCTCGAGTTGGAAGGGATACATAAGGAGCAACTCCCTGATCCTCAAAGGAGCATACCTGTACATAACTTTACATAACTGTAGAAGATCTTAGTTTGCTTTTAAATAATCTCTAAGTTTTAAATTATGACAATAAATATGAACAATCAATGGAGGGTTAAGAAACTGTACAGAGTAAGTAGATACGAAAGCAGCTGCACAATGTATCTGCTGAATCTCCCATTACCCAAGGCTTCGTATTTCAGTTTTTGGCACTGGATTCCAACAAGTCTTTTGCTTCATTTATTTTTGTTGCCAAGTAAGGTGATCCACCTGAGAAGAAAAAGGGGAAAGGAATAACATTTACATATCAGTATTAAGTACCAAACTACTTCACTTGCAGCGTTCCCTTATTACTCACTTTTATTAGCTCCTGCTTCCTAAACAGATCCTTTTCATACAACTGCTTACAAATGACACTGATATGAAGTAAATTATTTGATAAGGAAACATGAGAAATGTAATCAAAACTGAAGTCACTGAAGAATAATGCTGAACAATTTGTCTCAGAGAAGACTGAAATCACTTTACATCAGTGTGATCTAGACTTGCACTGCAATACTGCTGCAAATGTATGCAAGGTCAGCTGTCTTGAACATTCATCCAAAGCTAATAGCTATTATTTCCCATCATCCCAAAAACCAAGAGGTAAAATTTTATAAATGATTTTGACAAAGAATCATTAAGTGTGTGCACACATACATACTCCCCAAGCCTCTCCTGCGCTAGATGCCCAGAATTACCAGCCAGAAACCATCCCATTAAAGCTATTTAAACATGGTACGCCTTCTAACTTCTAGTCCTGAACACTGTCATTGCTTTACGCTCCATCTAACAATCTGATTACAGTTCAGCAGTCTTTTTCTGTTTGTTTTTTTTAACTCTCCCCTTGAGTGCCAACCATCTGCCTACAGTCACCAAAAACAATGTTACAAGGTGTATATCAGTAACTTACCACTTACTATAATACATCTGTATTTTTTACATTAAAATGTGATTCCAGCAATACTGTGCACTGGAGTAGCATTTTCCAAGGAATCTGTTCAATTGTATTTTTTCATTCGTCATTTCATTAATTCTATTCTATTTATGAGAAAAGATAATGGTAGAAGAAACACGCAAAACTAGTTGTAGACACACGTAAATCAAAGCAAAAAGGCAAGGCTTGCTTAAAGACTTCTTTAGGACATTTCTGCAGGAATCGAAATCATTATAAAATATTTCATGGTGTAATAAAACGACTGGAAAAAGTAATGGAGTTCTCTCGTTCATGTTTTGAACAATGGGGGATGGGGGTTGGAACCAGATGATCTGTAAGGTCCCTTCCAACCCAAACCATTCTATGTTCTGGTTTTGTTTAAATGTAGCTCCCTAATAGGTAAGACATACTGGAGGAAAGTGAGGCAGGGCAAGGGAACGGTAGGGAACTGGCTACTGGAAAACTAATTAATTTCTTTTTTTAAACCAATTGGCATTTTTAGCCAGGAATAGGATTTACTACATTGGGTATTGCTTCTTTGAAAGAGTAGACAAGAGGATCAAACAAACAGTAAAGACTAAAACCTGCAATAAACAACAGATACCAAGTAATTTTTAAATGCGTGTTGATTTTCTACATGTCTAGAGCGCAGGATCTTAAAGTAAATTCAAATCTGCTGGAAGTGTTTTCACTACATTTACATCCTTAAGTGCCATATTAATTTTGTGGCCCTCCAATGAGAGAAAATTCAATCTCATGATTGCCTAAGTGTTTATTTATAATTAGGGCACGTCCAAATTACTTCTTTCTCTTTTTCTTTGAGCAAATATTCTTTCATAAAATTAGTAACTGATAAATTAACATACAATGTATCAATATAAAGCCACTTCAGAACTGAACCGTGAAGGTTAATAAGCAACCTTTTTAGTAGTGCACTCTGGAGCTGATATTATGCAAACTTCTACATATTTCTTATCTATTTACTTATAATAATTCTCTCTTCAACATTTTGGATCTCAGATAACATATGGCCCTTTCTTCTATCAGCTCCAGCTGGTAAAATATTAAAGTAACATTGCAATGTTGAATATTATTTTTAAAAGCACATCTGTACTACCCATGGCCAGAAGAAATCAAGATATATACAGAAGCAAACAAGTCTCTGTGTGATGCCACATGTTCAAGATTACTCCAGGCCCTCAGTCTGCAGCTGAAGACATTACACACGCCTTTTTTTTTTTTCCTACAGCCATGCCAGAAGAGCTGCAGGGGCAGTACAGAGGCACAAATCCCTTCAACTGGTGTTCCTACTGCGAAAATGCTCCATCTTAGTAGCACACAGGAGGGCTCGCTACAACCATCCAAACCTACACTGCGCCCACCTGCAGGTGCATTAGAGCTGTAAGAGCGGGTAGTTAAAACATATGATCTTCCGAATGTGCCTCTTTAGGTCTACTCAACACCTACACGGAGATTCATGGTTACGGCTCACATCTCTAAGCACTGCTACAACAAACTCAGAAGTTCATCATCAAAAATTTTGACCGAATAGGTACCCTACTGGGTAAGAGGCCTTTGACCATCATAATATATTAGAAATGCAGAAAAGAATTTCTTTTCTATGTCTGTGCAGCTTATACATTATAAAACAGGTAAAAAAAACAAAGTGTGAAATCGAATAAGCGGAACAAGTTTAGAATTAAACTGAGGGGTGAAGACAGCAAAGAAAAGCATCAACTAAACACTTCCCATGGAGAGTAGTCACAGTTATTTCTTCATTTTCTTAAAATGGGGTGCTGGCAGGGAGCCCTGTAACTCTGTCAAAAAGATATAAAACCCCTCTGATTTCCCCTTTTGACTTCCGAAATACAGTGCAACTCTTCACCATCTGTTATTTTAAAGTAGAAACAGCAATGAACATATGGGCTTTCTTTCTCAACCAGCTGTAGTGTAGTTAAAGTTATAATAATAGCCTTTCTGTAAGATAAATTTACATTAAAAGCCTGGCCAGTAAAGCAACAGTGCCCAGTTTTACATTTTTTCCAAGTGAATACCAGGAAGTCTGAAATTCATCAGTGATGTACTTGGTGACTGCAGAACACTTCCCCACAGAAAGTTACTCTCATACATGCGGCTGGTCCATCTCAGTTCGAAACAGGAATGTTAGTTTAATGTAAAAATGTTGTATCTAATTTTTTCTTATTTTTGACTAAGTTTTTTTTTTTTTTAAAGTGTGGAACACTGGTGCCTGAGCTTACAGTTTTAAATGAAGGAGCACAAATCTATAAAACAACCTTAAAACAGGTAAAACTGTAGTTCACAAAGCCTAGCTTATCTGAAAGAAGACAAACAGAAGCTCGTCTGTAAATAAACAACATACATTTGCACTCAGTGTGGTTATTTATACGATCAGCAAGCTAAAAAGATCTCATTTAAGCCTCTTCCTTTCCAGCTCTGGTTAACAAAAAGTCATAATTTATTATTTACCTTTATCAGGATGATTCAAAATCATGATTCTTCTATGGGCTGTTCTGATTTTTGCCTTGCCAGCAGATGGGCTGCAAAAATAAATTCAAGTGCTTACCATAAATGCCACTGCACTTAGGCTATAAATTAACAGTTTACACTGGCGTCAAAAATAATTAAAACTTGAGATTTTCACCATCTTGTGGACAAAACATAAAACTGCATCTCTGAGGAAGTAACAATAACAAAGACATGCAAGACACACTGAGCAGGACATTTTTAAAAAGCCTGTATATTTTACACATACAAATATCTGGGTTTTTTTAAATGCAATACAGTCATTTATTTAAAATAACCAAGGTGGTGGTGGGGGAAGGAATAAAACCAGCAGCTCTAGAGTGTTATCTAGCTGGTTACTCTTATCATTAAATGTAGAAAACACATTTTTTTCCTCCTAGAAAATAAGTATTTATATGACCAGTGACAAACCAACATATATTTAATATTATCACATTTTGTTCTACTGTAAATATTTTTATAGCTGCTATAAACAATTTGCCTTTCCGCTAGGGCCTGAAAAAAACCCTTTATTTGTTATTTTTGCAATGCTGTTCAATGTGTTACATTCAGGGACATGCTGATTTACAAGTGCTACATAATGTTGTTTCCTTCAATGACAGATACATAAAATATGTACTTGGCCTAAATTAAATATGTACCTTACCAGACAAATAACCACTTACCGATGCAGTGTGACAACACAGTAAGGCTATCGTATGCAAAAGGACAGTCTGAATGGTTTAGTTTTTCATAATTTGTTAGCATGCAGAAATGAAGCAGTGTTTTCCACTTCAGGTGACTTCTTAATCAGTGATGACTCAATTAATCTTTTTGTAGATACAGTCTGAATGCAAGGTATCAGCCTAACTGCATTCCTGAGGTAAACAACCTCTAATTACTATTCTGTCACAGGGAAATTAGGGTATGTTGCAAAAGTACTTCACAGAACTGCATAAGAAAAGAACACCTCCATGTAACAGAAAGCAACCCAGAAAGTAAAAACTAAGCAGAGGGTGAAAGGCCTCGAACTATATAAACAGAAAAATTAAATGACTGGGTATCAGACAGCTAAAAATAACAATCATCTATATTTTCCTTTGTAAAGCTGTTGCTTAATAATAAAAAGGAAAGTTGATATACCACATTTAGAAACTCGGATGACCAAAGCGTAACTGGAAAAGCTACAGTTGTACATCACAGAAAACCATGCAGTCCTGCTCCAGGAAGCAACTGTGAAAATGGTGTTTTACATTAAAATTGCTTAGTTTATGAGATATTGTTTATCCCACAGTCAGACAAATCTCTAAGGATTCTTAATCACTATCAAAAAAACCTTTAGTGTCAAAACCACATTTTCGTTGAACTGGTACAGCCTCACAACCTGAGTTACATCAACGTCAGGCTGCCTTCTAACATCACCAGCTGGCTGAAAAGTCTGTCACCTCAGTGGGAACAGTCGATACGCTGGAGGGCAGGGCTGGCGTTCAGGAGGACCTGGAGAGGCTGCAGGAGTGGGGTGACAGGAACCCCTGCACAAAACCCACCAAGGACAGACGCAGAGCCCGGTGCCTGGGGATGACGAGCCCCTCGCAGCGCTCCAGGCTGGGGACTGCTGGGCCGGGGAGCGGCTCTGCTCACAGGGACCTAGGGCATAGCCATAACATGAGCCAGCAGCGTGCCCTGGCAGCAGAGAAGGACAACAGCCTCCTGGGCCCTATGAATGGCAGCACGGCCACTGCGTCGACAGAAGCAGCTGCTCTACCCCTACTCGGTCAACCACATCAAGCTGCTGCATCCAGCTTTGGGACCTCTGTGCAGAAAAGGCATTGGCCAACTGCAGAAGGTCCAGCAAAGGCCACCACGATGGTCAGGGGCTGGAGCACTCACTCTGTGAGGAGAGGCTGAGGGGGGGGGCCTTCTTCAGCCTGGAGAAGAGAGGGCTGCGGGGGGACCTCATGACAGCCTTCCCAGCACCTACAGGGAGGTCGTAAAGCATCTGGCTCCAGGCTCTTCACAGTCATGCATGGTGGGAGGCTGAGAAAACATGGGCGCAAATTGAAAAGGCAGGCACGGGCTGGACATGATACTTTTTCATGCCCAAGACACTCCAGCAGTGGCACAGGTTGCCCAGAGAGGATCTGCATTCTCCATCCTTGGGAGTCTTTCAAGACTTTCTTTCAAAATCCTGAGCAACCCACTCTGACCCCACTGGTGGCCCTGCTTTGAGCAGCAGGTACCACTTGAGACCTCCTGACATCCCTCCCAAGCTGCATTGTCCTGTCCTATGAGGTGCAGTGGGAAAGCCAGATGGCAGAGGCATAATAGCAGAATAGTCATGTTGGGGAAATATCCTATAAAAACTCAAAGCCACCATGATTAAATCTTGAATATATCTGTGTTTGTACACTTATACAAGGCACTATATGTTTTTTAATGTAATAGTCTAATTTTTTTGTTATGTCATGTTTTAAGAATAATGATTTAAACATTTTTTAATGCATATATATATTTTGTACATTAACAAACAATTACATATTTACTACAGAAAGAAAAAATATGCATCTTGTTTCACAGAGGAAATGGCACAACAGAAAATTTTATTCATTTTTATCTAGAATTTTAATTGATGATTTTCAAACATTTTCTAACTTCAGAAGTTCAGTGTTATGGATTTGATAGTTGTAAACCATTATACTTAGGACAGCCATATTTCGCTAGCATCTATTTTGTCTAATGTTTGGAAAATAGTCCTAACATTTTCACCTCCCATGTCATCTCAGACATTCCCCCATTTCTCCCATCAGCAGTTCCTTCTACAGAGTACATAGCTGTTAATATTATTGCTATGTTTATACTGAATTTCAGTAATCAGTGCTGCTTCATAACAACTAATGCAAGAACATTAAAACTTAAAATTACTGAATATTCCAATACAGTACTTCGTAGCTTTGGATACTTTTTACATAGTTTAAATACAAATAACGCACATGCATGTTTCTATCAAAACCTCTGCAATCTTACAAGGCGGTTATTACAGAATAAAATTTGGAATGTGTAATGGGCCTATATATTTGAAATTTAAAAGCTACCATTAAATGCTCACCTTTATCACAGCTTGTATTTATTATTTATACCGCCCATGCACACTCAGCACTTGAAATAATGAAGAAAGTCCTTGCCTCAAAATTTACTATGACTTGGAAGTGATGACAGAGAGGACTAGTGTTACAATAATAAGATCAGGGCCTAGACAGATCTAGTTTGTGCATTTGTGCATCACCTGGCATTTTCCGTAACACTTTAAAACTCACTTTTTTTTTTGGTGGCATTTTTATATATACATAATACAGTGAGTTACAACTGGTCTAGAAAAGTGTGTTTAAACAATGTGAAAATTTGCTATACAGATGTTAGCCATGCATCTACACAATTAACGGCTCAATCTTTTAAACATTAATAAGAACTCTCCTCCAGTCTAATTAAGTCTTAGTATTTGCAAGACTCAGTCCAAACACAACAAACAGTGGTCACTCTTCCTAGTGCAGACTCAAGCTATTAAAATTAAAAATTTAAGGGGCCTGATTTCAGGTGTGATGAAACTTCAGGCATGCACATGAGCAGTGTTCAGGCTAGGCACTGCCACCATAAACACGCTTTAATGAGCTTCCATGTGCTACTCTGGAATATCACTGAATTTGCCCTCATAAAGTGAATGTGTTAATATATTATCAAACAAAGGTCAAGGAGAAATTTCTGAAGAGCATTCTTATGATTCTCTTCTTCAGCGTGCGAGCATGAAATATTTCAAATAAATGTAATGTTTTATTTTACAGTTTCTTAAAATGAATGCCACATCTGCGTAATTTCCATTATATTAGAAGTAAACATAAATAGCACATTGAACTTCAAGTCTGTTTTCAACATCTGAAATAATTTCTTCCGGGCATGATTAAAACCTTCCTTCTTGTCTTTTAATCTTCAAATTCGGAACTGATCTAAACCATAAATAAGAAATCTACTACCTGAGGTCAAATCTGCTCCTCTCACCTGGAAAGCCCTCAAACTCACCACCTGCTTTACAGAAAACACTAAGGTGTGTGCTACCATTGGCCATCCAAATGTCTTTGAAAAAAACCCACTGAAAAATCCATTGAATACTCAACTTGCAAATTCTTTCCCGTACCTACTCTAAATGACAAGTCTCTCCAAGTATTTTTGTTTGGAATATGCCGCAACTTTTTAAATCCAAACAAATCAGAGTGGAGAAAGAAAAAAAAAAATTAAAAAATAATTTTACTGACTCACAAAAAAATGAGCAAAATTGATTTGTTTTCCTCGTTTATTAATATGATCTACAATATTCCTTATCTCAAGGGGTTTGTGGAGACCAAGTCACGTGATCACACTAATTAGCACAGTATGCGCTATTCTGATTATTTCTAGAGCACCAACTCTCCACTGCAATATGTTATCATGCCTTCAAGCCAAACACAAGTTGCATGTTTTATTAGCATTTTATTGTTTGCTTTTTAGCTTAAGCGGAATATACACAATGGTTTATGAGCCATTAGAAATCTTTAAAAAAAAAAGTTACAATTTTGGCAAGAGTATTCCACATTCCTGCAACATGCATTTTCTTCATTCAGTACTTACCAAACAAAAACATATTAATACAACACACCTACCTTACACCCAAAATAAGACTAGCTTCTCGCATACTCATTTTCTGTTCAAATCCTCCTTTATAGTAAGATGAAAGACTCTAAAAAGCAGAAAGGGAAAACAAGCAATAATTAGCTTCATGTACAAGGTGCCAGGACCTAAACCGTATTTCTATGACCTCTTTCAGAGCATTATACTCATGTATAATTTATTTCGAAAGCATGGAATGACTACAAACCAGACAGTATGAAAGGTCTTCTCCTTAATGTTAACATACAAAACCCAACTTAAAAATAACTATCTGTGTTTTTACAATCTTCTAGTGCTAACAAGAGATATTAATAGCCACAGCTATTAAAATCCTGTCTTCAGGCGAAAGAGTCCAGTATCGAAGTATATGCTAGCAGAGAGTGGTACAGTGTGTGCGCTGGGGAGGGGGGGGGAGGGGAAGAGTGGCCTAAGCCACAATATTTCGGTATCCAAGGAATTGTGGACAATCATTTTGAAGCACAGATATTTCTACAAAGATAACAGGTAAAAACAACAATAAAAGGAATGATAAGAACAGACAAATATAATATACTGATGAATAGTCACTATGTTTTTCCACATGAAGGAATGTTACTTCAAAAAAATATATCAAGAGAAACCCTGAAAAATAAACAAAAAGAAATAAACAAACAAACAAAAAGGCTTAGCACAAAGCCACAACCTCTATTTCAGGAAATCACTGAGCTAGAGAACACTGGAAAGCAGCAGAGTGTATGGGAAAATCCTAACCAACTTTTGCCTTTACATCCTCTCTTAGATACTTATGACTGATGACAATGAGATATAGGATCTGGGGTTAGTTTTTTTTAAACTCATTGGCATGTGAGACTTTAGCCACTGTTTTAAGAAAGGGAAAAAAACCATGAGTAAGAAAAGAACACTAAAAAGGAGATGGAGATGAGAGTAAATCATTACAAGAATTAATTATCATAGCGAATGGGCTGAAAGAGTATTTGTCAACCATAAATATATTTTAAATTAAAAAAAGTTACTGAACCACCACTGATGGTTAGCAGCGACCTCCTCAATATAAATGTTTCTATAAGAACAATTAGCGACTAGCCCACTGCTACACAAATAATAGCCTAAGCTGCACAAGTCCCAGAGGCAGAAGATCTAGCTCGAAAACAGCCTGCCTTTGGGAACTGGCACACAGAAATCACTCAACAAGACTGAAATTTTTTTCCTCAATGCAAACCTATCAACTGGGGAAAAATAAGCTTCTTTTGTTGCTATCAAAGGGAAGTCTGGCCTGAGAGCTGAGATTATTTTTAAGTGTTCCTTCTACCCCCAAGTAAAAACGTGCCTGGCCCTTAATAAAACACTTTTCTCACTAAATATATCCATTCATATTCAGTGAGAATTTTGCCTTATGCTTGCACAAACTCTCTCTTATGTAATTTCAAACGCATTTAAGAATTTAAAGGGCTCTGTCTATGATCTCTAAGCAAAGCCTTTAATTAAGCTCAGGAGCGGCATCCACCCCAAAGCGTGGTTCAGAAATACTTTACCTATCGCTACCACAAAGTCACATACAGCCACAGAAAAGATCTTTTTGGTGTGCTACTATGATCTGAAACTAATCTTATCTTTCTTCTTCCCATCCTAAACCATACCTGTAGTGTTACAGCAGTGGTTATTTCATGTATCAAAGCTGAAGGACATGCCATGCCCACAACAAAAATCTGTTGAGGAACTGCTTCTATAGCTGCTGGGTAACACAAACCAAGTGCGTAATAGTGCACACCGACATTACAGGTTGGAGGACGCAACACCACGGGAATACAGAGGGCTTCTCCAGTGCTCTGAGAGGAAACGATGCTAACGATTTAATGTCCACCAGATAACACCCTTGAGGAGGCAGAACTGCACAGAAATTTGCAACGATGCTGAACAATTACTACAGCCAGGAGACAAAAGCAGACTTTAATGTCCTCTTAAAGATTTTCCAGAGCTTCTCCCAAAGCTGCTTAGGTGCAGATAGATTTCTGAAAAGGTTAATTCCTCTCTGCCCTTCAACCCTGGCATACAGCTCTAATACAGGAGGACACTGGTTCACTACTCGCATAGAGAAAAGCAGTATTTGAATTATCTCCAACACAGCTCGTCTCCATTCTTGGTAGATTTAATCTAAAATACTATTTGAAATAAGAGAACAGGGAGGGATGGCAATAGGCTTAAATTCAGAAATACATTTTCATGTTTTTAAAGCCTACTTCCTTGATGCTATTTTAACCTTGGGAAGCCTTGATTCGGTTCACTTCCAAGACGAATGAAAAAAAAATTCTGTTGTCTATGTCCTTTGGCACATAAACAAAAACAGTTTGTTGAATTAGTCATCAATAAAAAACATTGTCTTCTCAGAAGTGAAGCATGTAGCAAGAATAATCAATTCTTAAATTAAGATCTTGATCGTAAACAGAATTTAAAGCAAAAGGAAATTAGACATAAAAGCCATTTTTCCCATTGGTTAGAATAAGGGGAAGAAACAACGAGTCTTCATTTTAGGAAACAGCAAATTTCTAGTTCCCTAATGCAACAACTTTTGCACGCTATTCAAACTAAAGCAATTTTTTTTTTTTTTTGCCTAGCTGTAAATTCAAAGTAATGGCTGCAATGAAATGAAACAATACTCAAGATATTTTTCTGTTATGAGAACTCCTTGATGAGCATGCAGTTCTAGACACTTAATTTATTAACCCCGGCTACTGCAAACAAATTCTGTACTGGAAAAATCATCAAAATGAGCTCTCCATTTATTTGTGCTATTTGGGGTGAGGGGAGGGGTTACCATTTAATTTACCTCATTACCTTGTATGTTGTTACTGTTTAGACACTTAGGTAAGCCACTCTGCTTCCTAAACAAATGCTATTAATAGGTTTGGGGAGGAAACAAGAAGTGGCTAGACTTGCTCAGCAAATGTCTATTCAGTCTTGCAAATTTTCACAACAGCAGTCAGCTAAGAAAATCCAATCTATTTGGACCGTGATATCTTCAAGATACTTTTCCTGGTATAGCACAAGGAAAGCATAATCACTGTTTCCACGCCAGGTAAGAGATTCAAAACTCCGTAACTGAGACCATCCATCATATTATATGAAGTAGTGAATTTCGAAAACTGAAAACTCTATGTGTTGTTCCACCACCAACACAGTCCCCCATTGAAAAAATAACAAACACTAGAAGGAAAAAAAAAAACCCCAAACTACAATAACAAACTATTTAGAAGCTGTGTTACAATGTAACCTACAATTTGCTAAGATCAACTGTAACTTCCTTAACATCAGTTAGAAAAAAAAAAATAATCTATAAAATGTACTGCAAATTGCATTATTATTTTCTGGAAACTTTATTTTCAATGAAGGACAAGCGAGATGGTTGCTACCCTTATTTCTCAATTCAGAACTCTATGAGTCTGAGCTGAATCGGATCCAGCAAGGGAAACACAGTGCAAAATTCTCTGATGAAGTGCTATAGAAACATCCTTTTCTTCTGGAACACAGAATTTTCAAGACTGTGGGATTTGAGTATTTTGACAGTTCATTTTGCCTAGAATTGCTGTTTCTATTTTCAATATCTTCTATATCTTTCAAACTTCAATATCATTGATTCAACAAAGAAAGGTAATGAATGCTATTGAAATACTCCCCCTTTTTTTTAATTCACATTTTAAGGAAATATTACCATTATAATTAACAGCATTAAGGCCTGTCTGAGGAAGAAAAGCCAGATGACTACTTAGTGCTATGCACCTTCTACAGGCAACAGACACTTGTCACTACACACAGAAACAAAACAATGTCACTGGCATTTGTGACACCAGTAACAAAATTAGGCTCAAAGTAAAAAAGTGTTTCTCTGGAAATGAGCACTGTGACTTGTCAGAGAGAGGAAATGACAATGTTTCCTCCTATATCTTTCTCCACTGAAAAAAAGATGGTAGAAAACTTCAGGAATAAATTACAGCAGCATTTACACTTCATATTTAAGAATATATATTTAACTACTGTAAGTTAAAGTTAAATGAGAGGTAGAAATTCAGAATAAAACGTAACACTTTTACTTGCCTTTACTTACTATTTTGGACTAGAAGATGAGTGCACTTGTTGACTGTGCACGTTATTTATTTAGGTAAGGAAACAGAAAGTGTCAGATATTCAAGATACAGCAAGCAGGCCTTTTAAACGATCACTTCATAATTGCTCAACCTGACCTTACCCAAGTCATTTGTTAGTGAGGAGGAAGAAAGGATGAACAGCATCTGGATCACCTCGCATGACTACAACCAACGTGAACTGTGACTTCTATTGCAAACAGGGGAGGAGTGGAGTAGAACTACAAATAGGGTGAGGAAGAACGGCAGCTCACAGAGAGAACCAGCTAGCTTTTAAATAGGCAGCTGCTTCACAGTCTCTCAAAAAAGGAGGTGATGAGGGAAAGGGTTTGATTCTACAAAGCTAGAGTAACCACTGAAAATTACAGTGACCAAGTTAGGTGCCTCTGACCACTATAGGACACCAGTAAAGTAACAGTAAGCCTAGACACTAAATGTCACGTGAGATGCTTTTTCCAGTAAGCACAGGCAGAAGTACTAACTGCTTGATTTCCTTTGTCAGCGTAGTTTAGAGGGCAATATGCGTAAAGAAATGTGATGAAAGTGCTAATCCACAGATTATACTCAGCAGCTTCACATTCCCCAAATAAAATCTTGTCAAGTCACTAAAATACGAAGTTCAGACAATAAGCACTTACATAGGATCTTGGTACCTAATGTTTTCTCTGCTATTTTAAGGAAAAACTATAAATAGGAAATAATTGACTGTAAAGGGGAGAAGAAAAAAAACTTGGAAAAAAATACAATCCAAGAAAGTAGTAGCTGTAGTTTAGTAAAGAACAAATAATCTTGGCTAAGAATTATACAAGGGTCTTAAATTTGGACAAAGACTGCAGAAGAAAAATCACTACCCTCACAAATGTAAAGGTGACAAATGTATACGGTTAATGACAAACAGGGAGAGTTTTTACTGTATTCAGCAGATCTTGTCTTACACTGAAAACTTATATTTTCCAGTTCAGAAATAAGACAGAAGAAGAGAGATACTCTACTGGAAATCAACACACAATTCTGAGTATGGATGTGAGGCAGGATGTGAAGGCAGACAGAGGATGCAGCTCCAAGGACTAGGAACACTGAGAATGCAGAAGCTCCTGGGTTTTTCTTTATGGTGGCTCATGAATTCTGAAGGACTGTGAAAGTCACTGTGGTAAAAACGAGACAGGCCTGTAATGAGCTTGGCTCAGCCAGTACACCAGTACTGAGGGGTACAGTTTCCTAGAAACAAGACACCTCACTGTGCAGCAGCATGTCATATTTCAAGGTGTTAAAAAGAGCCACTGCCTGCTTTCTTATGTGAACATGTCTGAATTTAGATTCTCTAGCCTATGTCTACAAATGGATAGAAGAAGAAATGCTGGAGTAAAACTGCTGGGAGAGAGGGTGAAGACTGAAGCACTCCCTATTCTGATGCCACATGTCCTTCTTGCTAGCTACTTCTAGCAAGCTTGCAAGTCAGACTGTATCCATATCATACAAAAGCAATTTAATTCCAGTACCTAAAGTCCCCTCTGCTGTTTTGGCAGGCAACTTGGGAATCTCTCAAAAAAATACTTTGAAAGGGGAAAAAAAAAATAAAATTGGTATTGGTCTCAGAACAGCAATGCAATAGAAGGACAGAGAGCAAGAACTGATCCAAGCGCACCGTTTCTGGCTGACAGACATCGCAAATAAGAACACCGCTGACAGACATTGCAATTAAGAATACGTGTGGACCAACCCCCAAGAGACAGCCCATGTTTCGTGTCTCCCCCTCCCCGGGAAGCTTGCATTGATCCAGCTTGCACCTTCAGCACATGAGCACGAAGTACAGATGGCAAATGAATTTGGACTCTAGCATCTGTCCAACAGGCTCTGTGTTGAATCGACCTCACATTAATAGGTATAACATTAATGATCGCTTTTTTAAAAAAAACCCCTACCTTTAATATACTTTTCAGGAAATAACAATCTGCAACAACTCCTCCTTCAACACCCTCACCAATCAGCATCAAGAGGGGAACTATATTCCTTCCACTCTGGGTAAGTGTTCACAGACTATGAATTCCGAAAGAATACACTGCCACAAGCAGACACCTACCTCATTAGGAATTAACTCAATCACAGGAATGGTACATACTTAGTTTTTCACCAGAGGACAGTACAGTCACTGAAGCAAAAAGTCAATGCTCTTGAATATTCCCTGCATATGCTCCTCTCACAACACTCTACCTCTATTTTTTACCTTATAATTGTATTTTTAAATATGTAGGGCAAAACAAAGAAAAACAACTTGGTTAACAGTTCAAATTAGCTGGGGAAGAAAAAAAAAAGACAACTCGTGAACAAGAAAACAAGCTTCGCCCTTTCTATAGCAAGCTTCTCTAGAAGTTGATCAATTTGTCATCTTAATTTTTAACACTGTATCTGAAAGAAAAATGATTAAATTCTTTCATTTTTAGCTTCTTGAAATGAAACTGCATGTCATCACTTTGTAATGTCTATGAATGAGCAATTTTCTCACAGTGCACTTCAACAATTTATCATACACTTCCTAGCAAAGAGTTCTGAAACACAGAACATCACCAGGAAAATCAGAACTGTTCATCAAACTCACAAACATCTTTTGATACAGCTTCATCTACAAGGATTTAAACTATACCAGATAATATGCCAGAACATACACAGTAAGGAGCAGCACTACCTGTGGAAAAAAAAAAAAATTCAAGTGGCACTTACTGAATTTAAAATAAAATGTGTCCTTTCTAAATACTTGAAATATAAGATCATAAATATAGCATAAAGTAACCTCCAAACTTACAGAAGTTGAAATCCTTCTTGCTGTCTCTGTAATTGCCTGCTCCAATGGTTTCCAAAGGTGGGAAGCATAACGACCTGAAAAACATTGAGGTTAAATGAAATTATAACCAACCTTCACTAAAAGGAAAGAAAAAAAAGCCTCCAACTTATGCTCATCATCTTACAGCAGAAAGAATTTTGGATTAAAACAAGAAAATCAAAATCCTTCCTTGTTAATCTTTTTGTCTCGTTTTTTCACTCTACTGCACCACTGCATTTTACTGCTTTTCAACATGTTCCCTCAACAGACGTTTCTGGACCCTGCCCAGTCGAAGTCCCACAGTGAACTTGCTATGGTTTACATTTTTCAATTTTTGCATTACTGGGGGAGGAAAGAGGAGAAGTTTAATAAACTTCATCTAAACACCTAGTCATGGACTGCGAAAATCCATTATGCTTATTCACAAAATAAACTTAAATGCATTTCAATATGATAAATGAAGATATCTGCCTTGTGAATTTTAAGAAAAAGGACAGTATGAAATGTTAGCTTTGGATATACATTATTTATTAAATACTGTTCAAAGGTTATGTCTTCAAAAAAAGAAATCTATGTACTACATGTTTCTTGCTGTGATGTTGTGTGCTTAATCACACGTTTTCTAAGTACTACATTTTTCATTTTGTTACAGAGAGAGGATCTTCCGGGATTCACAGCCATGCAACTTCCCACCAGCAGTTAATGTCTATAGCTAGGAAAGGCTAGGGGGAACTCTGTTAGACTGTGTTCTCAGAAGTACAAAGCAGGTCTATCAACTTCAGAATGAAGATTTGCGCCACGTTACTGGAGGATTTTCCTGTAAGTATCCTCTCCCAAATTATTGTTCTGATTAACTATTCATTAGCAATGTAACTTACTATTACACACAATGGAAAAATGTTTCATAAAATGTGCCTCTGCTTCATTCAAACAGCATCATGTTTTCACTCTTCAAATACGCCATGCATCCATATGCTAACACAGAAATTAAAACCATTGTGAAAAGTATCACTGCTGAACATGCTGTGATGTACTAATATATTACTTCACCTTCTTCTTAACACTTTTTGTTACCACTTCTTTGCTAGCTGCTATTAATTACTCGGCTCAACCAGTAGAAGAAATTCTAAGGGCATTCCTCTTCTGCTTCTACACAAACACATAGATAAACCAACTGCTTAATGGGTGTACATCACCAAAGATCTTATCCTTCCTTCCCCTAATCAAAAAACGCAACACAGCTGCACCCAGAAAATATCTGCTGAAGTTCAGTGCAACTTGTGTATCTATTGCCTCTATTCTTGATGTATGCGTTTGCACACAGCTGACCATGGCTGCTTTTGTATGCTGAAAATAATGGAAATCGAGCTGTGTATTTCAAAACCAGAACAGACCATAGTTATCTAGTCTGAGTAACCAGAGTATAAATCATGTTAAGCCCATGCCCTGTGTTCAGACTAGGACCCATTTTTCAGAAGAACATACAGTCCAGATGCAAAGAGTTCAAGTAATAAAACAATGTACTATGGGAACAGTTTAGTATGATAAATGAGTGTAGTCACTAAAACCTTCTGTTTTTCTCGGTCTGAATTTGTCTAGCATTACCTTCACATCACAAGATCCAGTTGCACTCTTCTGTGCTAAAGATCCTCCACTTTGCAATACATTATCAAAGAAAGAAAGTAAACTTTCCACTTTACGTTTTGCAGACAAAAAGAAGATGGAACCTTTAGTTGCTGCCCATAAAATTAGTTTCTCCAGCTGCGACTTTTCAAAAAGAATCTTGTAAAATAGGTCAAGGATTTTGAAGGGACAGGAACTACAACTGGACACAATTCTCCATAGTACTCTTAAGCAACATTCCAGTAGTTATATTCACAAAAACTTCATCAACCCTTTTGGAAACAGCAGCTCACAAGGGACAGTTCCACACTTAACCGGTAATTTAGCTTACCTGCAAACGCAACAGTTGCAACACCAAGTCCAACTGCTATCATAGTTCTAGCCTAAAGCAGAAAAACAGGAATCAGAATAACATGCAAATTCTAATCTGAAATATATGCACCTTTTACTTTAACAGAGAGTATTTCTGATGTTTGATGTGGACATTTCATATATAATTTATAACTAAGATGTTCTGTATTCTACAGGCTACATTAGATTCCATAGTTCAGTCCCATTAACCCATGCCAAAGCATCAGGTTTAACCTGGAACTACCCATCAGCAAATTGGTGAACACACACTGACAAAGCAGCTCATAGTATGTAATGATAAAAACACAAGGCAGACAACTACTCAGGATTACTTCAAATTATTTGTGCAGACTAGTTCAACATCGTACATAACAGAAAGCATTGGTTTATTACAAAAACATGAAGAGCTTAAAAAAATATTGTTTTACAAAGTCCTTCACTGGGAATCTCACCATGACATTGCTTAAAAATGGTATTGAAATACTAATGTTAAACACTACGGCCAGAAATGTACGTGTCTTCCAGCTTTCATGCTTTGACTCGTGGAAGCCCCAGTAGAGACATGAAGCCCGGTAACCTCTTTTCATTACTTAGCGTCAGTCACTGGCTGGACTATCTTAGAGTACAAATATTGGTAACTTGGCAGACTTCAGACAGATTTCCAACAATGTTCATTATCAGCTAAAATTCGCTTTAAGTCTAACCAAGCTCTTGGAACCAAACCCACAAAAAAAACTTGAATGTCTGATTTAGACAATAGTAACTCCTACGTTTTACTAACTTAAAACCCACAGATTAGGTGTATGTATTTTCCTACACACTGCTTGAAGAAAGTCAGGCATCTCAATAAGGGCAATAAGAAGTATTTCCACGCTGAACAAGAAGCTGCTGAAAGATATGTAGTAAACCTTGAAGAAGAGACTGACTTCAGAAAGTCTCACTTGCAGAATTCAAGAAGGGTAATGAGCATTGCAAGCGTTGGGGACATTTCACCACTTCCAAACAGCCTACATGTAATCTTTGAAACAAATGAAATAAAGTCATCTGTGGCACTACTTGCCTTATCATACAGTAGTTCAGTAATGCCTTGAACTTTCCCCCAGGAAAACACGAGAAATCAGATTAGGCCTGTTTAGCTTGAATTCAAAACGTAACAACAGTGAAAATGCTTTTATCACCAGACTGTCTCTTCTATATATGACTGACTTCTGCATCTACCCAATAACTGGTTTATACATTTTCTACCAATAAGCCTGACAGCAGGACTTAAAGCCCAAATTTTAATGTGAGTGCCCTAATAACTGGATTTGGAGCCAAGCTGCCTTTGCTACCAAGATTCACGAGGCTAAAATTCTCTGTCTTTGACTGTACCCAATCTCATTTTTAGACAGAGAGGGAGCAGGGGACGAGCTGGGAAATGCCGGTTTTAAAGCCTTCTAGAGCCATCACATCCAGTGGCTCCTACAGCTTCAGCTCTGAAGGCAAACTGCCATGACTGCTGCCTGGGGTATTGAGCGCAGCATGGAAAAAGTGGTAGCCCGCTCTGAGCTCAGCTAGAAGCAGCTGTATTCCTCTACAGCTAGCTTCTGCATCCTATGCATTTTAACTAAGCACCTACCCCCCCACCCACCTGGATGGGGCTATTCTAGCTATCTGCATAACATAATACGGCAATTACCTAGTGATTTCTAGTCGGAAAAAAAAAGACTCACTAAACATACTGAAAGTGGAGCTCCAAAGTTAAGACTGGGAGAGTTTTTGCCTCAAAAATTTGCCTGTCTATCCCATTTTAGTAACCTAACTCTTGAATTTTAGTGTAGTCTTCAGTCTCGATATTAGCATACATTTCTAAATGTAAAAATAATGTAGTAGTTTTATGTCTGTTGTTCCTTTCAGTTCCACAAAATTTCCCCTCATCTTTAGACCATGAAAAAAATATAAGTACATTACCTTAAATGGCAGAAGACATAAAATAACGAAGCACACAGTTCATCTCCTCACTGAAGTTCTTTTCATTTCTTCTCACAAATTGGTTTTCCCAGGTTCTCAATATTCAAACCTACTAAAAAGTTTCTCTAATCCTCTGTTTAGACACTAACCAGAAACACCCACAACATTTCTGAAAATATCACCCTATAGAAATCCTCTGTTATTCTCTTCTGTGATTTGTGACCATGGATTTATATTCAAGAGACTTTCCTGGACTAGTTCAGAGTGACAGTGAGAATCTTTTACTAAGTGGTTACAGTCAATTAAGAGCTCAACAATGTGTGAAATGATCACACTGGCAAAAAATATGTATTTATTAGCTTGTGCTTGTCCAAATTAAGTTATACTTGCTTTGCCACCAAAAAGGTGGTTTAATTCAGCGGTTTACAACGTATGCATGTTGCAACAAGGTATGCAGTTTGCAACAAGGCATTAGCAGCAGACACCTCATCACAGGTAAGGCCAAGCACAGAGACCAGGCTAATAAATAATACCTGGGCTCTGTCAGTTCAGTGCAGGAACAGCTTAAGCGTTTTTGCACAGTAGTCTGGGAACACAGCATAGAGACCCTAAGGGCCTCTGATAGAGTCAGCCATGTCCACTGGGATGCATTATTTCAATCTCAGCGGAAAGCACCAGCAGCTAGTGGAACGCTAGTGCTGCCTGGAAAACAGCAGGCAAAAAAGAAAGCATGGCAGGAGCTCTAGAATAGCAGCACACAGGATCAAAAGGAACATGAAGACAAGCCAGAAATCTAGGCAAAAGTGGTGGAAAGCTCAAGCCAGAGACGCACAGAAGATTGTTCACATTTTGAAGTGAGGCATAACCACCAGAAAAGCTGAGAAATACTGGTTTATGGTAACTCTCCTTATCTGCATTAGGACCAGGTTAGAGAAGAGTCACTTGCAACACAGTAGCAAAGTGGTAACTTGTCATACCAAGGCATCTCGAATGTTATGGTGTGAATATATACTAACTATACACATGTGATAAAAACTGAATTTCAATCAATGTAAGAAATATTGCACGGTTTGTCTTTTACTGACACAGCCCCTCTCATAAAATTAGTGGCAACTTCAAGTACTAACCAGTAAATCTTTTCAGTCCAGCTTGACTCTGTTTCCTTTTCCATTCTCACTTAACTCAGTTGTTATTTAGAAGAGTAAGTCAAGGTTAGTTTGGTGCTTTGAAATGCAGAGTATAAAGTGTAAAGCTTTCATTAATTGCACTCTTTTCATGTCAATATTAAATGAAAGCAACTCACTATCACTGCAGAAGGGATTAGTTCATTTACAGCATGCTAATACAGCTACCACCACAACCATTTTTTGTCTCTCATTGCTTGAAACTGCATTTTACTTCAGACTCATAAAGGCTAAAAAAAACCCCCATAAATTCAATTATGACAGAACTGACCTTCCCCCCCTTCAAAAAATGCCATGAAGGAATTTCTAAGATGTAGGTTTTAAATGAAAGCTTTAAGATCCAAGAGGGAAAAATAAAGAAATAAAAGATTAAAAAGTAACATCTGTCCCTTTCTTTATTCAATGAATCAGCTCCCAAAGGCTAGTGATCAGCCCTATGTTATTCTGCTGATCTCAGTATTTTCATTTTACTACGTAGTTCAGCTCTCAGTAACGAAACCTCCCAGATGCAAAAAAAACATAAAACAAAGTTTTGCTAAATCTGCAGAAACTGATTTTTTCTTCATTCTTTTCAGAAACGTGTATAAGAAAACACACACGTTAGAAAGGCAACTGCAAGACCTGACTTGCTAAAGTTTTTGGCAAACAAAAGAGGATAAAGCATATTAATTAGCATACAGTATGTTTAGAGGTATACATCGTATACTGTTAGCATAGAGATCTGTGGCCTAATGCTTTAATATGTAATTTAATTTAATATGTAATTTTCAAAATTTTTAACTTTTTAGCAGAAGAAAGAGGGAAGAATGAGACTCTCTTTCTGCAAACTTCAAATCCAGTCTCTGCTAACTTAGCCATACTAAGAAAAAAAAAATAATGACTTCTGTAATTCCTAGCACTGCAACTTCTCCTACATTTTTTTCTAGCATTCCTCTTCTCCTTCAAGAAGGTTTGGTTTGTTGTCTTTTTTTAAGTGCTGTATCCTGCTAAGAAGTAGGATATTCAGGCATATTAACCAAGTGTACAAAAATGTTTCTGAAACTTCTTCCCTTAAATGAAAATTCTTGACCTGTGTCATAGCTTAACCCAGCAGGCAGCAGCTAAGCACTAGACAGCCGCTCGCTTATCCATCCTCTTCTCCCCAACCGCGGGATGGGGAGAAGAATGGACAAAAGGGAAAACTCATGGCTTGACATAAAGACAGTATAATAAGGCAACAAAGAATACTACTACTACTGATAATAACGAATATGCAAAACCAACTATATACAGTATAATTTTTCTCACCACCTGACAACCAAGTCACAGTCAGTCCCTCAGTAGCAATCACGGAACCCGGAAATCACGAAGTTTGCCAAATTCCGAAAAAATTTCAAACTCCTGGACAAGAGGGGATTCAAACTCACCAAAGCAAGAAGAGAAGAGAGCTTCCTACCCCCCCGTCAACCCCCATCCGTAAACTGAGCATGAGTCTATGGTATGGAATATTTCCATTGTTCAGCTTGGCTAGCTGTATGTCTACACTCCCTCTCAGCACCTGCACACCTGCTCATCAGCTGAATATCAGAAACTGGAAAAAAGTCCTTGTTTTCACAACAATAACAGAAAACATCAGTGTTATCAACATTCTTCTCCTACTAAACCCAAAACACAGCAGCTACTGAGACAAAAATTAACTCTATCCCAGCTGAAACCAGGACAACCTGAAATCAATGATTGTTTGGTATGGAAGCTAGAATAAGGCTTCTATTCTTCACAAGCATAGCTACTACAGCTACTTATTAGCAGACTGTTTCAGAGCAAATGACCTAATTAACACTATAAGAGTCCAGATACATTTTGAAGTGGGATTATACTATAAACTGTCTGCAACAGATTTGATTTCATAATTT